GATAAATCACCTGACAGCTGTCCCCACCCACTTTTAAAACGGCTGCTACGCCCCTGATCACCTGAATTACTTGATGAAACGTTGCCGTGTAGCATTCTGCACCTCTAATAAGTAAAAAAAACAAAAAAACAATATGAAGTTTTATATTCTGGCGAATAAACAGAGCCGGCTTCACGACGAAATAAATAAATGTCGCTCCCTGATATTTTGAGATGTAAAACCACTCCCACAAAGCGATTGGTGAAAAAATTCTGAGCCTCCAGGGACCATGTTGCTCTAGATTCCTGTGTGATATAGCACATCCCCAAATATAGGCTAATAGCACTGAGTAACATCGCTGCTACAGTCGAAACTGTGCATGGAAGCATGCTAAGTCATACTAGTTTTTTATGTCATAGCTTTAAGAACATGAGATAACAATATAGACTGTTGCAGGACCCTGGGATACTGAAATTACAGTCAGATTGAATAATATAAGACTGGGGTCGGCATCATTGGCATGCAAGCAATAGGGAAAACTACATTTCGACGTATATTTTGAGGTAATCATTCCTCATACACAGCTGGTTAGGAGGAGCTATAAATACAATGTGTGAGAATTAAACTGCGCTAGTCTACAGATGCGCGTGGTTCCGGTGTCGTGCCGAAAAATTGATCGTCTGCCGAAAACTGATTACCGTCCGCGAGAGTGCGCGCAACATGTTCAAGGTGTATCGCCCCAGTTTCTACACGTCCACGGCTGCTTTTATCAGATCAAATGGCCATAACCTTCAAAAATACACATAATCTTATGTCCGTGGTAATATGTCCGTGCTAATAGCAAAGAAACATTTCTTGTAATGGAATAATCAAAATTGTGGCCAAAGAAGTGTTTGCCGTTTATAGCGTAATCTGGCATGATATTTACGTGATTATAGGCAATAATAGAAGCCTATTTTACCAACCAATCCAGTCCTTTTTACCAGGTGAAATATGTAGTAACATGTAGTAGTTTCTGCCTCAAAATGACTTGATTTCATTCATGGTTGTTATAGTTGACAGATTATAGCTCATGCAGTCCTTTTTACCTGTTGAAATACATTTAAATGGCCAATACAACCCATAAAATGCTGTTTTTGACTTGCCAAAAAGTGATTACTGCCTCTACTTATTGAATGAACTGTTCTTTCTGCCTCAAAATGACTTGATTAAATGCATGGTTGTTATATTTGACAGATTATAGCTCATTCAGTCCTTTTTACCTGTTGAAATAAATTTAAATGGCCAATACAACCCATAAAATGCAGTTTTACACTTGATCACTACTCACTGCAGTGTGTGTGCACATGTGAAATGCAGAGCACAAATTCCGAGTATGGGTCACCATACTTGGCCACACGTCACGTCATTTCCCTTCCTTTCCTTAAAAGATTAGCTGTCCTTACCTGGGGCCTGTACCATGATGGTAGTTGAACAAGAGTTACAGAATTAGTTTCGAATTGACAAAACCAAACCACTCCAATCCGGCTTTGTTGGTAACAACTTTCTTTGTCAACTCAGGCTTTGATCCTGAGTTTGTGGAGCTTGTGCGCATGAATGTGTGACATCAGTGGCAGACAGCCAATCACATGCCTTGCAACACAGAGCAAGTGTGATTCACTTCTTGTGAGAGAGCCAGCAAGATTCAAAACTCTTTTGATAAAGGTTAAGAGATTGAAGAATATGAGGAATTTAAACAAATTTATACTGAAGAAAGTACTTGTCCAAGAAAGAGGACAAATAAATTACTTTTTTGCATCAGACATGTGTCACATGTTCTCACATCTGATTGGTCCAATTTCAGTTTGAGGTCTCTTATACAGAACATAACCTGCTCTGGAGCAGGTTAGCTGTGGAATGTATGTTGCTATGGCAATGAACACCACTAAAAACTAAGCCACTTTCATGGTACCTAAAACCCAAGATTGGTGCAAACTAAACTGAAACTTATCTGGCTAGCCACCTAATCCGGCTTCATGGTACAGTCCCCTGGAGACTCAATCAGGTAACAAAAAATGTCAGGAAAATTCTGTTGGGTCATTTGTCCAGTCACAGATACTGTACGGACAATCCAACCCAATACGGCTCAGTTTTTCTATATATCTTGCTCTGTCGAGCGGCAGAAGTGATTCTACATGGGCCATACTGGGTTAACACCATGCTTTTTTTAGTCAGGGGGAAAGGATTGTTTTCCCCACGCCCCACGCTATGACTAGACACAGACCAAGTTTATCACGATTCTTGTCTTTCCGTCCCCAAATTTATGACCTTTTGAAATGATAATAAAGACTTTTTACTGCCTTAAATTTGATACAACTACATTTAAGACTTTTTAAGGACCCGGCGAAACCCTGATAGAAACCATCAATAATACGATCAATCATCAACGTCTGCTTCTACAAAACAAATGCTTCATCATGCATACGTCTCAAAAACTACAGATCAAAAGTTTGGAATTATTCAAATATGCTGATTTGTTGTCCATACTGATGAATTTAATGCACCTATTTAAAAAATATATATATCTTGATTACCTCAAACTTTAGAATGCTAGTGTATCAGTTTCCCCAAAAAATCTGAAATGTTTCTTGCAGCAAATCAGCATATTAGAATGATTTCTGAAGGATCACGTGACACTGAAGACTGGAGTAATGATGCTGAAAATTCAGCTTTGATCACAGGAATAAATTACATTTGACAACATATTCACATAGAAAACAGCTATTTTAAATTGTAATAATATTTCATAATATTACTGTTTTTACTGCATTTTTGATTAAATAAATGCAGCCTTGGTGAGCAGAAGATACTTATTTCTAAAGCTTCCTTGATTATTCCAAACTTTTAAATGCTAGTGTATATGATCTGAATTCATTCACAGTCATGAAATGCAGGCAAACAGAGCACCAAATTATGCATTTCATGTGGGTAAACGGGTTAAACTCAGCTGCTGACCAGCGTGAGCTCAATAAACAGACACACCCGGATCATGAAGGTGTGTCAGAAAACGGCAGCATTACGTGATTTACTCAGAAAACACTGAAGGGAATATTTTTATATGTGTGTCAAAGAGATGCATGATTCTCCGAACGTCAGACTGCTGTGTATCTGCTGATCATCTCATCTGTCAGAACACACCATGTGTTCTAGCTAATCTGATCAGGATTAGTTTAGGGACTAGTTTAAGGAGGCAGTGCTGCATATGCTGAATGTTCAACCGACCAACCTCATTTCACCCGTTTATAAAACAAGTCGTGGAAACAGTATGAGGTGGTTAATACGGTCTAGTACTGATCAAAATAGACAGGGTAAGTATGGAACAAACCAGAACTTAAATAAGAAACAACAACAACACTCATTTCCTTTCTGCAGTAGATTTACATCATTCAAATCATTCAAACTCCTCAAAGAAAACATGGAGTCTGTGTTCTTGGAATAATAAAACATCACGGACGGGTGGGTCTGTGGTTAATCCACTTAATTCACTGGCCACAACCGGACCAGGATCAGCATGAATTACTAGGACAGTATAACATCACACACTTCAGACGCAATAAAATAAATAAATAAATATAATAATCATATATATATGATTATTATTATACATATATACTGTATGTATATATGTATATATATATATATATATATACGCTAAAAGTACAAAAGTACCTGACTTTTAATGTACTTAAGTATTAAAATAATTTAATTAAAAGGTACTGATCGATGAACAATGCTTAAATACATTTTTATTTAAATATACTTCATCCTACAATAAGGAAGATGGATGAAGACATTAAATGTATTGATCTGCAAATAAGAATAAAAAATAATTACCAAAACATGCATATCAATAATTACATACAGAAATCCTGCATATCAAAACATTAAACTTCAATATACTAAAATTTCAGTTTAAGCTACTAATAATTCAAGTGTGCCACCAAAAAAAAAAAAAAAAAAAATATATATATATATAAATATCAAAAATTGTATCTGGTGTCTGGATAATTTTTGGTTTGACTGTATATATATAAATAAAAAATATGTATTTCAGTTACAAGAAAATACATTTCCAGTCTTACAGTAGCCTACATTTATGTGTTATATCTGTGTTACAGACAATAAAGATTTTCTTCAAATGTGACATCACTGTTATTTTAGCATCACTGAGATTGTGTTATAGTTTTGGTTAATATTTTTAATTAGATTTAATTTTTATATTTCCTGCTTTCATGTTAATTTTAGTTACATTTTTACTAATTTTGTTTGTATTTTTGTCATTTTTAGTTTCAGTTGTTTCTTTCTATATAGTTTTTATTCATTTTTTATTTCAGCTTTTTAATATTTCATTTTATTTCAAACATTTATTTTATTTCAAGTAAAAAAAATTTATAATAACCCTGATATGAATTTATTTTTTTTGTACTGAAATATATGGAGGGCAAAATGTATTTTGAAATGCTTCTAAAATATATATTTATATTCTAATTAATATCTTTTCAAAAATAACCTAATAGGAAACATTACAAAAATAGTAAATAAAAAAAGAGGCTCAAAAGTTTGAGACCAATGATAAACACTTGCGTTTAGCTTTTTCCCCCCTCATTGAATAAAGTTTTTCATTGAAAAATGACTTTCTTCAACATTTTAAAACTTTTAAAGATTTAAATTTCAATGTCAATATTATATCAGACTTTTGGACCCCCTGTATACCATGGTATATAAATATGACCATATTTAGGATTTCTGATGCTTAAAGTAATACCTCCATGGCCCATTTTGTAGTAAACTCTTTTTACAATTAAAGACAGGCTCAGACAGGAGTCTAATTATCGCTCCTCCTCATAATTCTCGTAAAACATTGTATGACAAAGAGGCGTAACCCTTGCGCACAAATCCCGCCCCTCGGTTTGACTGACGTTCGAAAGACTGCGTGCTGAGGGGCGTGGACTTTGCGATCATAACCACGCCCCTCTATTTGATGGACGTGTGCCCCTGAGCTCCCCTGGAGAAATTAATCGCGTGTGTTGCTCCGCAAAGTGTTCGCTATGGATGATGCGTCCAAACGCGTCCTTAAAGCAACAACTATACGCGCGGATGTGATAAAGTTCTAATGTTGTTGAGCTCCGTGTGGGTGTGAGTACGGGAGCGCACGATAGGTTGATCGGCGGCTCGCTGTCCCGCAGGAGAAGGGGCCATTACTGTGGCGGCGTGGGAAAAGTTTCACCTACGTGACGCGCAGGAGAAAGGCGTTTTCATCGCGTCGCGTCTGGAATAATCGGCGTCCATGCAGCGACAGAGCAACGCGGAGCTGCTGTGAATGGAGTCCCGTACCTCTGAGGTCTGACTATGGAGCAACGCAACGGGACGCGGAGCTCCAATCAGCCGCAGCTGCGTATCAACGTGCCGAGCACCGCCAGAGAGCGAGCGGCCAGGTACCGCACTACATACTGCATACTACACACTGTCCTAACTATACAACATACAGCACCAGCATACATGTTCGTCACAATAAAAATGATTTTTCAAAAATCAAATAAAATTAATGCAATATTTCATTTATCAATCCCTTTGCCATTTGATGCAATACGTGGATAAAAGAATAGAATTAAAAATAGAAACACTCACACAGGTGTCAGTTTTCCCAGGTGTTTCATAATGACACAAAGATCTTTCAGGGTGTTAAAAAGCCTTAATTCGCCTTAAAAAGTCTTAAATTCATAAAGTCATTAGCTTTAAATTTTGAATGTATTGAAAAAAATCTTCCTAGGTCATAGTATTTTTGTCGTTTTCCATTATAAATATCTAAACATCCTTAAATTAAGATACATTTACTTGCGATGCAAAATGAAGATATGAAGTCGTGTTGTCTGAAAAACCGAACAAAATAAAGTGATCTTATGATTAAAACAACAATAAATATATGTCAATGGGGAATAAAAACTTTTAATTAAGATGATTTTTCTGACTCCATTGGCAGACATTTGTTCTTGTTTTAATCAAACTCACTTAATTTTGATCAGTTTCTCGGAAAACAAGACTATTTAAAAACAAACATATGTTTGTATATATATATATATATATGTATGTGTGTGTGTGTGTGTGTGTATATATTATATAACAATATAGAAATATATTTATAATTAAGTGTTGCTAATACTAGAGATTTACCTATAGAGACCATTAACATAATTTGTTCCATTCGGTTATTTTTTACATTTTCTTGACTTTTAAAGTTTTAAATTTGCCTTCCTAACCCGTTTGTTGGACTGTATAATGTGTGAGATTCGTTTGTCTTTCGGTTTCCACCCATGACTGTTTACCTAGTTAACCAGTGGTAGATAAGTTGCTGTAAATGTAGCCTCAGGGTTGAGATTTTTGTCATGAGTCACATGATCTCCTGACCTGAACACACACCTGAGGAACCACTCGCTTTCTTCTGTGTTCCAGTGTCATTAATCACAGACAGACCAGTGTAGTGTGAGTGTGTTTGTGTTTCAGTGTTGATCCATACGGGTTCGAGCGCTCAGATGATTTCGACTATGAGTCCTATGAGGAGCTAATGTCTGAGTATCTGGCCGTTCTCACTAGAAGGTCCATCAAGTGGTCCAAACTGCTGCAGGGGAAGCGGCGTGTGGACAGGAACCTGAAGGGTGTGTGACTTTACACAAACATGAACATTCATCAATGTAAACGCAGTATATTTGTGCTCAATGAAGATGAGATCTGTTTTAGCATCATCCTCATTCGTTGCATTATTAAGATCATGTGCTGCTTTGAGACACATTTAAAGGGACATTTCAACCAAAAAAAAAAAAAAGATTATTCTGTCATCATTTATTCCAAACCTGTATGAATTTCTTTCTTCTGTGGAACATAAAAGAAGATATTTTGAAGAGTGTTAAGAACCAAACCATTTCGGTGACCATTGACTTCCACAAAAACACTATTTTCTAAAAATAACGTGTCTATACTGGTGATGTGTGTGTGCAGTGAAGCGGTATGTACGGAAGGGCATCCCGAATGAGCACCGGCCACAGGTGTGGATGACGGCCAGTGGAGCGCAGGAACGGCTGGAGAGGAACCCTGGGTACTATCAGTCTCTGCTGGACGCACAACACGACCCCAGACTAGTGGAGACCATCCGCACCGGTGAGATCTCGCACGCTTCTCCACCGGATCCACACTGCTGTCTGATGCACAAAATCATACACAGACGTCCTTCATAAATCACTGAGTTTTGGGTCAAATCATTGAAATGGACAGTTTGATCATGGAAACTCTTAACGGTGTTTTCTAATTTTTACACACTTAAAGGTAGTGTAGGTGATTTGGTTCAAAAACTTTTCTTGTCATGCTGATTGAAAGTCTCTTCACATCCCGATAGCAATCAATAAGTTAAGTGGTCTAAATTTATCTATATGTATTTATATCGTCTGTGGAAGGCGTAGGACCATAAAATGTTCGTCCAATCAAAATGTTCAGTCCGAAGATTACGATAGGCTGTCCGGCCTGCCTGTCAAAATATGTATTTGCATACCTCTGCACACCCAGTTTGCACAGACAGGATACGTCATCAGCACATTCCAGCGAGAATGAGAGGCATTATTATTGTAATACGTGCTTTGTACTGTAATGTTTTCTCACCGGATAATGAGACATGAGGTAATCTGACAGTGTTGCATTCAATCCTCCACCAACGCCATCTCTCATCGTGTCGCTGATTAGCCTCTGGTCTGCTTGTGTGCGTTCATGTGTTTTGGAGGCGTGGCTTTGCAGAGTGATTATGCAGGGAGGGTGGAGATCTTGCTTTCAAGGCTAGCTTGCTATTGCTAGCCTTTCCGAAATGGCCTACCCTACCTTTAAGGCGAGAAACTACAGGCAAAACCAGCATTTTCCATGCGCTGGGCAGTTTTGAGGTTTTGGTCCATAGTAAGATTCCACCAACGCCATCTCTCATCGTGTCGCTGATTAGCCTCTGGTCTGCTTGTGTGCGTTCATGTGTTTTGGAGGCGTGGCTTTGCAGAGTGATTATGCAGGGAGGGTGGAGATCTTGCTTTCAAGGCTAGCTTGCTATTGCTAGCCTTTCCGAAATGGCCTACCCTACCTTTAAGGCGAGAAACTACAGGCAAAACCAGCATTTTCCATGCGCTGGGCAGTTTTGAGGTTTTGGTCTGTTTTGGTCCATAGTAAGACGTCTTCTTTCAAATTAGTGAAATGAAAACATCTAAAACACACATTTAAGTGTATATTTTATAGCATTTTATCTACTTGCGTCTGTAGATTTCAATTTGAATCCATATCTTTAAAGTTATGAGTTTTTTCTCTTACATACACCAAACTTTACAGTTTTATTCCAATCTATATTCTGAAGACTTTAACTGAAGGGTTCATATATCATTCACACTGAGGCCATGTCCACACGTACACGGGTATTTTTATAAACAGAGTTTTTCCTTCTTCTGTTTAAAAAAAAATCTCCGTTCACATGAAAATGCAAACGCATGCTATGAAGCACTGGCAAGAGCATGCCAAACCAACAGGTGGCGATATAATCGCAACCGTAAAGCCATGTTGGCCAATCAGAAGCCTGAAAAGTTTCTAGTAGGCAGAGATAACAGCGCAGGCTCCGACATCACAAGCCAAAAACGCCGGTTTCGCTGTCTACACGATAACACTGAAAATCTTTTTTCACGTCTCACAGTTTTTGAAAATCTTCACCCTGGCAGGCGTTTTCAAAAATGTTCGGTTTCAGGGACCCGGTGCTGCGTTTACGTGTGGACGAACGGCCTAACCGCATAGAAAAAGCTGCGGTTTTAAAAATAACCGTGTTCGTGTGGACAGGGCCTGATTTATACAACATATTATTCCTAAAAACATGGTGAAAATATTTGTTTTCTGTCTGTTGACAGTATTTTCTGATTTATGGAGTGATAAAAAGAGAAATCCAAAATTTGAATATGTCAGCAAAATCAAACAAGAATTTTTAACCTGGCTTTATCCAATGATTTGATTTATGTGCTGAAAATGTATGCTCATTTGCCTATTTAAACATTTCAGAAAACTTGCAATACAGAACAATTGTCTTAATGTACTGTGATTAATCCACTGGTGAATTATGGTGATATATGTTAGTTAGGGGTGTAACGGTACATGTACTCATACCAAACATTTTCGGTACGGGTCTTTTGGTTTGGTACGCATGTGTACCGAACAAATACAGCGTTGTTTTAACCACTGCATGAGCGTAACTATATTGTTAATTTTAATATAAAACAAAGTCTTAACTTTCAAATGATGTCGATTTTTTTTCAGGAAATTTAAACAATAAATGCGAACCGTTTGTAAACAAAATGTCACGTATCATTTAAGTTTGGGTTCTGTTGTAACCTTTTAGTGAAGTAAAACGACTCCCTATATAGTTTAGAGCATAATCTGAGGTAGATTTCTATCTCTAAGAAAAATTTTATTATAACTGAATTTATATAACAAAAAGAGCAATTTGTTCTGTTAACTGCAGTTAAACAATTTTATGTTTCGTTTTTTCACCTTGCTGTACCGAAACCATACCGAACAGTGACGTCAAAACCGAACCGTCACGTACTGTTTAGGGATGTAACGATATGAAAATTTCTTATCACAATTATAGTGACCAAAATTATCACGGTTATCAGTATTATCACGGTATTGTTAAAATGTGCTGGAGATGTTCAAAAATTACCGACACATAAATCACTTCAAGTTTTATATTTAAAAATCGCCACACAACAAATAAAATGACTTTTTGTTTGCATAATCACTAAAACAATAACATTACTAATGATGTTCGGATTTTAAATGACAACTTGACTGACAACAGTTTAATAGCATGTTGAAATATCTAATGTAAATGTTCAAATAAAGCTTTGAAAAAGTTTCATAAAAAGGTAAACCTCACATTTCAGCCTTTAAATAAAGAAAAGAATTAAGTCAAAATGATAATTGATTAATAAATTATTATATTATTTTTTCTGCTCAATAATTCTAAACTTATCTGAATTGTTTAAATGTGTAGAATCCACATAAGCTTGTTACAGCAGGGCATGCAAATTCAGTCCGTTTTTGGGCAGACAGAAACTACACAGGCTGAATGTAAATAAATATAAGTCTCTGTAAATCCACTCGCTGACACTAGGTGGCGCTTATGGAAAAATTGAATTAGAGCCGTTTCCCGTAACCTCCGTGGACAAAGCAGTATTGCGATTAAGAACACTTCCTTAAGGTATTACATGGAGCGAAGATGAACACAAAATGCCATTGAATCGTTTCTGAAGTCAGTCAGAACCTTCAGAGGTACATTCATATAATTAATTAATTCATATATTCATTTGTATAATTCCCTTAGCACTCTTTTAAAACCTCCCAGCTTTTCCGCCCTGTTTTCACTCAAAACGAAACTACTCTGCTGCTGTGCGCACGTGAGACTGTTACTTAAAACTGTGCTTTATGCTGGACAGTATTTATTTATCGTGAGTTGTTCAAATCCCGGTAATCTAATACGGTTTTAATGATAATTAAAATATGAAATGGTAATACTAACCGTGGGGAATTTTATCATGATTTATCGTCAAACCGGTAATCGTTACATCCCTAGTACCGTTACACCCCTAATCTTAGTTACAGTGTTTACCCTATATTCACCTGTACCATTGTGATTTCCTTTAGATCTGCACAGAACCTTCCCAGATAACATTCACTTCCGTAAGTCGGCGGATCCGTGTCTGCAGAAGGCGCTGTTTAATGTGCTGGTGGCGTATGGACACCATAATAAAGCTGTGGGCTACTGTCAGGTAAGGTCACATGATCACACACCTGAATCAGCACACAAACATGAAGCTGCTTAAGTGCGATTCATACTGCTTCATTTTGGAGCCTGGTTACTGGTGGGTTCAGGACAGGTGAATCGGTTGTGTTCAGATGAGTCATTAGATCAGTGCCAGATGGAATACTTAGAGCTCGTGTCTATCGGTGTTCTCTTATAGTCAGTCATTGTTTCAGTTTGTTTATTTAATGCAAAGTTTGCACAATATTTCCAATGCAAATGAATGATTGACTGACTGCTGCTGCGACATGCGAGCGAGCTCATGATTCAGAATCAAGGGAAAGATGCATGTCAGTATTACATGTCAGTATTACATTTAATGATGGTCTCCCTCTTTCAGGGAATGAACTTCATCGCAGGATATCTGATCATCATCAGTAAGGATGAGGAGATGTCATTCTGGCTGATGGAGGCCCTGCTGGACAGAATCCTGCCAGGTGTGTTTCCTGTTTGCTCCTGTGGTTATTCATGAAAATAAACCACATCATTAGAGGTCATAGAGTCTGAGTGTGTGTGTGTGAGTGTGACATGAGCAGATCTATTCCGAGCTCATGTCTATGAATAAACTGGGCTCAGGTCACATGGTCTGATCCTACAGTGCTGCATTTCCTGTTCCTGCTAGAGTTCAGGTCCACATCTGAATGACAGATGATGATCATGAAACATTAATACTGTATGTGTGTTTAGTGAGGTATAGATCCAGATATAGTCAGTGTTTGTTGTTCCATCAGTCTCAACACTGTTCCAGTCCAGCGCTTCTCAAATGCTCTGATCTGAAAGCCCTCCATTGTCCAAAACAATATAGATATTTTCTTTGGTATTTCTGTTGTGTGAAAACGCTGCTTGTTTCCAATTTTTGAAACATGTTGAAATATTAAACTAATTAAACATTCATTTTGTGACTCTATAAGGTTCTGATTCTGCATGTTCTTCAATAAAAATAATAGTTAGAGGGAAAAAAGAAATATTTGTAGTTTGTGTTTTTGATTATTTAAATTAAGTTTTGTTTTTAACATTAAATTGTAATTTTTTAATGATTAAATAATTTGAATTATTTAGCACTTCAAAATGTAATCTTTTTGTTTTTAGCATTTTGTTTTAGTGTTAATTATTTTTAATATAGTTAAAGGGTTAGTTCATCCAAAAATGAAAATTAGCCTGTGTTTTACTCCCCCTCAAGTCATCCTAGGTGTATATGACATTCTTCTTTCAGACGAATCCAATCGGAGTTATATTAAAAATTGTCCTGGCCCCTCCAAGCCTTACAACGGGAGTAGGCGGGTGTTGGTTATCAACAGTTCAGAAGACGTGAAATAAAGTGCACGCATCCGTAATAAAACGTACCTCACACGGCTCCGGGGGGTGAATAAAGGTCTCCTGTAGCGAATCCATGCATTTTTGTAAGATAAATATCCATATTCAAATGAAATAAAATGTTCTCTCACTTCCGCTGACTGTGACTGTGCGGAAGACGTTCAGGAGGATGACGCAAGACGTATGCGTCGTGCGCACGCCTCTGAGATATGCAGGAGCAAAGGAAGCAAAGTTCCTTACTTTAGCAAAGGAAAACCAGTCTCCTCTTGGCTTATATCGAAATCCTCCGACATTTTTCTTTACAAATCCTCATTTTGTGCTTCTAATTCGTGAACGGCGTTTTGTTTTGTCTCCGCGTTCGTCACTAATCACGCAACGTCGACATCCTACGTCATCCGCCAGAAAGCCTTCCGCGTACCACAGTCAGCGGAAGTGAGAGAACATTTTATTTCATTTGAATATGGATATTTATCTTACAAAAACGCATGGATTCACTACAGACGGCCTTTATTCACCCCCCGGAGCCGTGTGAGGGACGTTTTATTACGGATGCGTGCACTTTATTTAATGTCTTCTGAACTGTTGACAACCAACACCCGCTTACCCCCATTGGAAAGCTTGGAGGGGCCAGGACAATTTTTTATATAACTCCGATTGGATTCGTCTGAAAGAAGAACGTCATATACACCTAGGATGACTTGAGGGTGAGTAAAACACAGGCTAATTTTCATTTTTGGGTGAACTAACCCTTTAAATCATTTTTTGTGGTTTTAGCATTTTAAATTAATTTTTAGCGTTTTAAGTTTTAATTATTGCTAATACAATTAAATAATTTTTAGTTTTTAGGATTTTGATGTTCTAATAATTTTTAAATATAATCATTTGTGGTTTTAGGATTTTAATTGTCAATTATTTTTAATAAAATTCAAATTAAATAATTCAAAAAAGAGATCCACGGGTTTAGATGCTCCTTCACAAACCACTCTTAAAGTAGTGAACCTACTTAAACTACTAACAAGACTGTGTCAGACTACAGTGAAGCTGTTTTAGGAGGAAACGTCTCTTCAAACACTGTAGCAGCATCATTGTAACCTTTGACCCTCACCTGTTTCACCGTTGGTCTCTGGCTCGTTTCTCAGATTACTACACTCCGGCCATGTTGGGTCTGAAGGCCGATCAGGAGGTTCTGGGCGAGCTGGTGCGGATGAAGGTTCCTGCGGTGTGGCAGCTCATGCAGGATCACGGCGTCATGTGGACTCTGGTGGTCTCGCGCTGGTTCATCTGCCTGTTCATCGACATCCTGCCAGTGGAGGTAATGGAGCATCCCAATGTGATCATGTGATCGATCGGTTCACGACTGATCCTCTGTGTTTGGGCTCTGTTAGACGGTTCTGCGGATCTGGGACTGTCTGTTCTACGAGGGTTCGAAGATCCTGTTCCGTGTGGCTCTGACTTTGATCCACCACCATCAGGATGTGATTCTGCAGGCGCAGAACCTGCCGGACATCTGTGAGTGCTTCAAGCGCATCACCAGAGGAGCCTTTGTGGAGGACTGCCACGCTTTCATGCAGGTCAGTCACATTCATCCACATCAGGTGTTTAGGGCGGAAGGATATTTTGCAGGATAAAGTGAAGCCAGGATAAAAACTGAAAAATAATCCCAAACCTGTAAGCAGTGGACAGAAACTTTTCCATTAAGGGGTGGTATTTAAGTCAAATTCCAGGGCCTTTTTTTTTGGACAACATTTCTAACCGTTTTAAATGCATGTCTCCTTTCATGTACATTTTTATATTTATTTAATAAATACAGTTAGAATAAGATATTATAGGACTGTTACCAATCAAATGAAATCAGACAAAATCCATCTTTGCACTGCAGAAGCTGCGTCTAGATTATTTACTCAGACTGTGTACAACACTGCTTAAAGTTATAAGATATATGTTTTAAATATAGAAATGTTGGAAAAAATGAAATTATACTTTAAATATGAAACTAAAACCTCCAATAGGTTGCAACGAGTCACTGACATAATGAGAGAGTCATTGATTCATTCAGAAATTCAACCATTTTGTTCAAAACGGCTGATTCATTCAGAAACGAAGCAAGTGACTGTCTTTATGAATGAATCATTGAATCGCTCACTGAATCATTCAAGAACAAACACCACAGTTTTGATGGAGATGCAGCTGTCCTGCTGTGACTCTGTTTGGAACAGTTTTGGAGCAAAAAATAGTCGATACTGACAATATTGTGTCTAAAATGTCAGTCGCTTAAACTTAGCCTATGTTTTAATCTCCTTGTTTATTAATTATATACCGTTAGATAAAGTATAAAATAGTGATGATCTTAAAAGCAGGACAAATTAGCATCTGGCTCAAGCCTGCGCCACTAAATGGACATGGTGTTTAAAAACCGGACTGTCTGACCTAAAACCAGACAGAAGTCCACCCTAGGGCTGTCCAATCCTGTTCCTGGAGATCCACCTTCCTGCAAAGTTCAGCTCCAACCCTGATCAATCACACCTGAAGATCTTCAGGAACGCGTTATCATTACAGGAACTGAACTCCAGAAAACTGGATCTCCAGCAACAGGTTTGGGCACCTACATGATCACATTTCTTCTAAAACTGGTTCAAGCTGTTGAACTGAAGTTTGGTTTCCTTCTGGTCCTCTCAGAGAATCTTCCAGGAGCCCGGGAGTCTCTCCATGTCCACAGTTACTAAACTGCGTGAGAGCTGCCGTGCACGGATCACGGCTGACGAATCCTGACACTCAAACATTCCCACTGATAGTTTGCACTCGATCTAGAGTCTGTCGCTCACACAGATGTGGCATTCACTCAGACTCATGAAGATGTATTTTCTTACGTTTGTAGAGATATTTGTGTAGATGTAGAAGAATCCTAGGTGCTGGAATCAATGTCTTGAATACTTTCTCTTTCTCTTAGTTTAAGACCAATAATACTGTGAAATAAAACTGACTTGCAGCTCTTACAGACTAAATATACATGTTTTAGCGCAACCAGCTTCATGAGGTGCATCCTGGAGGTTTTTACACTATTGAAGGAACTTTACATTCTGCTCCAACCCTAAGAACTCACTTTCTTTAAAGCAAAATTGTCAAGAAATATATACATAAGTACCGTACAATTGTTATTTGTCTACAAAACGTATTTAAATCATTTAAGCAAACATCTATAAAAACAAATAAAAGATCAATAAATTCAGCATGTGTCCAAACAGTGTTGTTATTGTTAACTGGAACTATTACCGGTATATATAATTTACTTTTTTTTTTTTTTTTTTAGCACTTTAATGTTTTTTAAAGCATTTTAAGTGTTCATTTTTAAAAGTTCAATCATTTTTTGTTTTTAGCATTTTAATTACTTTTTAAAAATATAAATAAAATATTAAAAAATGCAAAAAAAAAAAAGAAGCTAAACAAAAGATTGTATCAAAGACACTTAAAACGTAAAATATTAAAACAAAAACTTTGAACTATAAAAATCTATATTGTTAACTGAAATAAACCTGAAATAAAATAAATATTAGATGGAATATTAAAACATCAATTAGAAATGTACTGAAATAAGTTGAATTATAAAACTAAAGCTGAAGCTATATATTACGGATGTCCCAATCAGGTTTTTTGTGCCCCCCCGATCAGAGTCATTGAATATTGAGGGTTATTATTAATTTATTATTATTAGATTTATAAATTATTATAAATATTATGTTTGAAATAAAATGAATGATTAAAAAACGTATTTTATTTCTGCTAGTTTCCAAGGTGACATTTCTCATTTTAATTTAGTTTAACTTGATATACTAAAATAACTAAAACTGAAATAAAAATGAATACTTTATAGACCGAAACAACAGAACTACTAAAAATGACAAAAACAACAAAATTGTATATACAGTGGTGTGAAAAAGTGTTGGCCCCCTTCCTGATTTCTTATTTTTTTGCATGTTTGTCACACTTTAATGTTTCATATCATCAAACAAATATAAATATTAAGGCCTAGTCAAAGTCCTGACCTGAATCCTATTGAGATGCTGTGGCATGACCTTAAAAAGGCGGTTCATGCTCGAAAACTCTCCAATGTGGCTGAATTACAACAATTCTGCACAGATGAGTGGACCAAAGTTCCTCCACAGCGCTGTAACAGACTCATTGCAAGTTATCGCAAATGCTTGATTGCAGTTGTTGCTGCTAAGGGTGGCCCAACCATTTATTAGGTTTAGGGGGCAAACACTTTTTTCACACAGGGCCATGTAGTTTTGGGTTTTGTTTTCCCTTAATAATAAAAACCTTCATTTAAAAAATGTATGTTGTGTTTACTTGTGTTATCTTTGACTAATATTTAAATTTGTTTGATGATCTGAAACATTAAAGTGTGACAAACATGCAAAAAAATAAGAAATCAGGAAGGGGGCCAACACTTTTTCACACCACTGTATATATATATATATATATATATGTGTGTGTGTGTGTAAAGACATTGGTAGTTGTAAACATGTTACAATGGTAGAGAGCAATTATGCATGACAGTTGACGTAAAACAAGGGTAGGGCTGAGATTGGCTTGGGACATCTCTAATATAAACAAACTTAAAAACGACAAAACACACAATTGAAAATAAAAACACAATTAACTGAAAATATTAGATATTATTATAGTATATAAATAATACTAAAATAATCTGTAAATCTGTAGTTATTTTGGAGCTTTAGTCTTTTTATTTACTAGCAACAATATTTGCGTATATTTTCATGTCTTTGAAATGATCCGGACTGATGGGAGCTGCTCATGTTGATTGACACATTCAGCTGTTGTTTTCATCACACAGTCATTAATAAAACACTGACGAGTGCAAGTCATTTATTATTTATTAACCTCAAAACCTGATGCATAAAATTAACCAAACATTCACAACAGAGTGCAGCAGAAACCAGCGAACCTGATTAGTGAGCGTCGGTGACAGAAGCAAACGCCGCTGGAGTCTTGTGACCAATCAAATCACCAGGACAAAGAAACTCAAACCCATGAAACATGATCGGTGTGCTTCATCATCATAATCTTGTCAGGAAGAAGATGTCACCGACACACACTTTAAATGTCTTAGAAAAGCACAGTTTTCAGACTTGGACACACAGACTGATTGCGTTTATTATTCATCCAGACCATCACGACTTCCCTTTTCACTCAAGCAACAAATTAAACCTTCATCATCATTATCAGTCATGTCATGCCAGTTATTTTTAGGGCTGATTCACACAGAACATGTTTTCATTCCACTGCGCTGCCTTTCCATTGTTTTGTGCTACATCAGTGGTTCTCAACCTTTTTTCCCACTGGGCCGCACTGTGGTCCAAGTGCAAGTCTCACGGGCCGCATATCATTTATGTCACCAATACAAACCAACCAGATTTATATTATTGCATTAGCAGATATTATAAATATTTTGATATCTAAATGATTATATTTATTAATATAAATAAATAATTCTACTCGCCATTAATGGGACACCTGATGTTGTCGGGAGCTGACCAGTGTGGTGAAATTTGGCTCGAAAGGAGTAACAGCACAATGGAGTTGCGACTTAGTTGCAATCTGTAGATGCACACAGAAGCGTGACTTGATGCGAGACCTTGCAGAAAATGTGCGTTCACAAATGTATGTTGATCCAAATATGGAAAGCACTTTTGAACTTAAAGGCACAATATGTAATTTTCGCCGCTAGAGGGCGCATATTCAAAATAAACAAATAGACAAAGGCGTAGTTTGATGACGCCGTGACTGAGTGTGGAAACATGGGAGTTGTCGACTGCATCTGAAAACTGAAAAATGCTGCCTTCGGAGAACGCATTCCAAGGTAGGAAGGCATTAAGGCACGTCCGCATTCAATGTTAGCTTCAGTTCTTGTCTCCTGAGATGCCTTCATCTGGCCGATTTTTGAAGGCAGCATAGATGTATCCTTCGTTGCCTGTGATATCCCACAATCCTGTGTGTTCCATTCTGTGACAGTTAAGCTAAAAAAATAAAGATGGCGTCTAAAAGTTGCGGTTGGTGGTCAGTTTGTGTGTAAATGTACATTTTTGATCAAGGTTTTCCACTTTTGATGTCATTTCTAGCGAGAAATTACTATTGCAGTAATTAAATATTCACTTAGTTATCACCAAAGCTCTCTATATTTTGCTGTAGATCATTAAACCGTTACGCTGCCTCAGAAGTCTGTCCGAAATCAGTTTTGTGAGGTGCCTTCATGCGCAAACGCTGCCTGCAAGTCATTGCCTGATAGGGCAGCGAGGCAACAAGTCAGCTGCCTAAGTTTT